GAGAGAGAGAGAGAGAGAGAGAGAGAGAGAGAGAGAGAGAGAGAGAGAGAGAGAGATTATCAGGCAATCATGAATTCGAATAACTCCTTCATAATCTCTTGGCTTGGTGTTTTTCATGGGGTTGACCTGAGTAATTCCATTATGATTTTCACCAGATGCTAAGGTGCAGGGGTGAGAAATAGCCTGGGATGTTCTCAGAGCTGAAGGAATACAGAATGGGGGTATGTGTAGGCAGGGTCAGATCAAGGACAGGTGGGAGCTGAGACCATAGAGATCATGAGGGACCCAAGCTTGGTAGATTTTAGAAACCCTGAAAACTAGATCAAGATCTTGGGCTCTCTGCCAAGGGCAGTGTGGAGCAATGGGGAAGTTTGGAATAGGCAGTGGCAGCATCTAATTTGGGTTTTAGAACGATCCCTCTGGCAGCTCACTGGAGAACACACTGGCAAAGTCAAGGAGGAAGGGTAGTTAGGAGGCTGTTACTCCAGCAAGAACAGAAGACTAGAATCCAGACAGTAACAATAGATGGAGAGAAAGGCATTCACAGTCAGGAGATCCAGCAGGTAGCATTGTCAGGACTTGGGACTGGTTGATTTACGGTCAAGGAGCTCTCAGTTGTCCTATTGCATGACCAAGAGAGATCAGGGTGCCATTGGGTTTATTTGTGTTGTTCAAGATCTCTCCAGGGTCTGGGGTAATGATGACACACAGTAGGTGCTCAGTAAATGCTAGTAGTATGAATATGTTAAAGAATAAAAGGATGAAATGAGAATGGATACAGGAGGAGGATCAGGCAGGGAGAAGATGAGGTCAGATGTGGATATGAGGCGGCTGATGGGTCCATGGATCATGAGTCATGTGAGTCCCAGCACATGGATCAGGGCAGTAGCCTGGACGGTAGGCAGAGACTGGAGCCCTGGAGAGGAGCTGTGTGGGGAGGCAGGGACCACCCAGGAGTGGTTGGAGCCAGATGAAGCCATGCCATGCTTCTGAGAGCAGGGTGAAAGGCCAGCTGAGGACAGGGAGGACAGGAGGAGAGGAAGAGGGCCAGGCAAGGAGGGTTTCAAGCAGCAGGCCCTTTCTTGCGAAAGTGACAGCTGTCCACTAGCTGAAGCCTGGCGGGTGGATAACCTTGGGGTGAAAAGGACACCTCTGAAGGCCACGGGGATAGAGAGGTAGGGTAGAGCGAGCGTGAAGGTGGGTCTCAACCTGGAGCAAGTTGTAAGGGTGGGAGGCAGCAGGCTCTCCATGGGGACAATACGTTCATCACCTTTCTTTCTGTCCTGTGACAGAAACCTGATAAGTCGACCTGAGGGAGGAAAGGCTTTTGGGCTCATGGTTTCAGAAGTGTCAGTCTGTGGCCACCAGCTCTATTGCTGTAGGCCTGAGGTGGAGGTGAAATACAGTGGTGGGAGTGGGTAGTAGCAGAAGAAAGCTGCTTGCCCAATGGTGGCTGGGAAACAGAGCAAGCCAGGGGCAAGCTTCCTCTGACTAAACTTTACCTAAGCCCATCCCACTACGAGCTCATCAGTGGATCAGCCCCATCGATGAAGTTAGCATGCATTAACTAGTCACCTCTCCATGGCATCACCAACTGGAGGCCAGGCTTACTGCACATGTGCCTTTAGGGTAGGCTTCCTATTCGAATCGGAGCTGACAGCATCATCCTAGTGATGACCATGCATTTGAAAGGAGGGGAACTGCAGCTCAGACTTAAGTCCCCTGTCCTAGTTAAGGTGACTGTTGCTGTGATGAAACACCATGACCAGAAGCAACTTGGGGAGGAAAGGGTTTATTCAGCTTACACTTCCACATCATAGTTCATCATTGAGGGAAGTCCAGGTGAATTCAAACAGGGCAGGAACCTGGAGGCAGGAGTTGATGCAAAGGCCATCGGGGCATGCTGCTTACTGGCTTGCCCCTCATGCCTTGCTCAGCCTCTTTTCTTATAGAACCCACCATGGGCTGGGCCCTCACCCATCAATTACTAATTAATAAAATGGGCTACAGCTGGATCTTATGGGGGACACTTTGTCAATGGTGGTTCCGTCCTTTCAGATAACTCTAGCTTGTGTCAAGTTGACATAAAACTAGCCAGCACACCCCTGGTGAACATGGTGGGACAAAGGGTGACTTTGATAGGAGACACACAGTGAGAACAGTTGGGTAGTGAGCACCACCTGTGGGTAGGTGGGAGATTAAGGCAATTAGCTGAAAGAAAGCACCCTTAGGACAAGGAGGGCAAATCTCTAAATTTGGACTTTTGGGGAGCTCAACAGACCACCTCTCTGGAGGCAGGGGCCCATGGCCAGCCCAGAGCTTGTGTCCAGTTTGGGGTCCATAATGAATAAACCTGGAACTTAACTTCCTTATCCACAAAGGGACACTTGGCCCCACCGTGGGAGGTGTGTGGGGTGGGCGGGTAGGTGTGTGGGGGTGGTGGGGTTGTGACTGGGTAATGGTGTCAGCAAGTAACGTAGCCATTCCCTGGGAGAGCCCCAGAGCTCCATCTGAGATCTGATGTGAGGTACTGGGGCAGGGAAGGGGGAGTCATCTGCGGGGTGACTCTTAGCAAAGGGGGACTGATGGCTTGGTGTCTGAGTGCAGAGGAAGGGTTCCCCCAGCAGGGTCTCCCTAGGTCTTCCTCCCTCTTCACCTGCTTGTTTTGGGTTTCAGTGCTTCATCAAAATCACTGCGGCCTACGGCTCCACGAAAGACATCTCCGTCTACAGTGTGCTGGGCCTCCCTGCATCCCAGATCTTCATTGTGGGCCGGCCCACCAAGAAGTACCAAACCCAGTGCCAGGTGTGTGAGGGCCAGGGAAGGAGTCGGGGACAGCTCCTAATCATTCAGTTACTCGCTCATCCCTTCTTGCGCTCATTCATTTATCTCTATTGAGCAATGCCTTGGGCCAGGCCCCCTGCGTTCGAGTGTAATGGCATCTGGGGGAAGGGGAAATGGCAATGACCGTTTATAGCAAAGCAAGTGCCATTCTGAATGACAGAATGACGGGGCCCTGGAGATGAGCTGCAAAACCTAGACTCCAGGACAAAGCTGGCCTCCAGAAAGGGCGTGGGGGTGGAGGGCAGACGACGAAGGACAGTCAGAAAGAGCTGTTGTGCCATTCTGGGGTTGTGCCAGAATGCAGGGGTACAGACGGAGGCGTTCAGTGGCCCACAGGAACCCTAGAACTGTAGTAAGGCCCCCTGCTACTGCTTTTGGGGCTGCAGACTCTCTTGAAGGATGCCCCAGGGAAGTGGCGATGTTGGGGGACAGGGTCAGATGCTAGCCTGATGCTTGTCCCCTCCACAGTTCCTGAGTGAAGGCTATGCCGCACACCTGGCAACACTGGAGGCCAGCCACCGCTCGCGCCCCAAGAAGAACAACTCGCGCATGATCCTGCGCAAGGGCAGCTTTGGATTGCATGCACAGCCGGAGTTTCTGCGCAAGCGCAACCACCTGCGCAGGACCATGTCTGTGCAACAGCCGGACCCACCTGCCTCCAACCCCAAGCCCGAGAGGGCACAGAGCCAGCCTGAGTCCGACAAGGACCACGAGCGGCCGCTACCTGTGCTCAGCTGGGCGCGTGGGCCCCCCAAGTTCGAGTCGGTGCCCTGAGGGGTGGGCGGTGCTCAGAACAGGGGCAGCTAGGCGGCCTGCAGGGAAGGGAAGGGTTGCCTTCTCCCTGACACAGGCGTTTTCCTGCTTTTTCCCTCCCGTGTCTGTCCAGCAGTGTCCGACCAGAGCAGGGAGGGACCTTGCCCTGACATTGGGGAGCTCTCTGGGCTGCAATGGGGTGAAATCTGGGGTGTCTCAGTGCAGCCGCCTGTGATATGCCCGTGCCCACAAGCCAGAGTCAGGGGTGATGTGTGAATGTGACCCTTGGGCCAAGCCTGCCTGTGCCCAGTGTTTGGGTAAAGTCGACCATCTTTTCGAGTCCTGAGGTTTCTGTAGCCGCGCTAGGCAGGCTCACACTAGAGAAGCCCCCAGCGCTGGGTAGATGGCCGGACAGGTGTTTGCCTCGGGCCGGCCGCTTGCAGGTGCAGCAACTTGACTGTGTGTAGAAGAGTGAGTGGCGTTTGTGCCTGCCCTCCTTGTGACATCCGGGGCACCACTTTGGGGTTGGCTGTCTCATGACACAGTGAGATCATTTTGTGGGAGCGGACAATTCCCTGGGTCCAATCTATGTAGGTGGAGTCTGTCCACAGCCCTGGGGATCGGGTCTGGTGCTGACTGTCTTGCCGCTGTCCTTCGTTCCCCGTGTTCTCTGTATCTTTATTCTCCTGTGGCCCCTGAAGACAGATGTTCCTCTTCCTTGTGCACTTTCCTGAGAGGCAGCAGGCCACAGACTCTGACCTGAGTTGGTCCGGCCGTGTGCCCTTGAGTCTGTAGCATATCCTCCTTGGGCCCTACTGTTTTCTGTAACTAGAAGGGGCCTCCTGGCTGAGATGGGTACTGGCTTTGACTCCTAGGCTGTCCAGCTTTTCGGCTCTCTGGGGGCCCAGTGGGCCTCCTCCTCCTCATCCCATCCCTCCCCACCCTGAGAGAGGGATTCTAGGGTGAGGCTGAAAGGGAGCCCAGTACCTCAGAGGAAGAAAGCTACCACTTCATGGAGAACAAACTGGTTTGTGCACACTGAGGGGAAAAAAACAAAAACAAAAACAAAAACCGACTTCCTCCCACCAACAAAGGGGACCACATGGCTGCCCCTCCCATAGCTCTGCTCAGACTGACTTTTTTCTTTAGGTTTCTGGAATGCATGGAGCTGAGAGCTCGGGATCTTGGAGGTTCATGGAATATTGGCTCAAGCTGTTGTATTCTCTTCCCCTCTCTGGCCACTACGTTTGGTTTGAGCCTAGAACCTCCTCCATGGTAGTCAGACCCCTTGGGTGGTGGCAGGGGGTGTTCCTTTGCTGCCAAGTCCTTGGCCTTGGCACAGTCTCCCCTTGCTCCCTGGCCCGGGCTGACACCTGTTGTATGGCCTCCTGGGTGTCTTAGAAGCCCCTGGGCTGCCCCTGAGGCCAGAGCCAAACATCTGTGTACACAGCAGGCACTCGTCAGCTCAGTGTCGCTTCTGTTCAATGTCTACCTCTTGCAGCTCCCATGCAGCCTGTGGTGGCTGCTGATGGGGGTGGCTGGCACCGCGGTGTGAGTTGCCCCGCAAACTGGGCACCTCACTTGGGCTGGAGGGGGTGTGGGCTCCCAGGACCCACCCTGCTTTTTCCACTTAAATGTCTTCTCCAGCCTGCCAGCCAGCTCCTGTTCCCTCTGCCCATCCCATCCCATCCTATCTACTGGCTCTTCCACTGCACCATGAGCACTGTATCTGGCAAACCAAACCCATCACTGCCAAGGCGGCTGCCGAGAGGGCAAGGAAGTATGGGACCAGCTTCAGCTTCCTCTTTCTGTCCCCCCTCCTAGAAGTTCATACCTGCCCTGCTTCTCACCATTCCTCTTAGAGATTCATACCTGCCCCCACCCCCACCCCCATTACCCCCCACTAACCCCCCATTCCTCTTAGAAATTCATACCTCCCGCCTCATTCTTGCCTATCTTTTGGCACCAGCTCATATGGCATAGCCACCTTAATTGCAGTCCTTCCCCCTAAACGCTGTGGTTGGAGCTTGGCTAGACCAGATTCTTTCCCAGCCCTTCATCTCCTCTCAGCAGGAGCCACCTGGTCTAACTTTCAAATGAGAACCCCAGGCGGAGTCAGTGTGCGAGTGGGGGACCCCGCCCCTCCCGGGAGACTGGAGCCAGTGACAGGGCTCTGTGGGTCAGAGCCGGCCAGAGGCCCCATCCCCCTTTTGCTAGAGCCCCACATTGGGGCTTGGGTGACCCCTTTTGTGAGATGCCGCTGGGGTACAGGTGTTGCGCACACCACCCTAGGAGCTGCGGCCGGTGCGTGTGAAGGTACGCACTCGCCGCTCTGTTGAGCGAACAGCTCGGTATTGCTTCCTGGCAACTGTACTCCGCCTGCGCGCTTTCTGCACCTGCTCTGTTGAGTTAGGTCAGAGACAAAAGGAGCCGATTCCTAGTGCTCTTCGGAGGGGAGTGCGGTCGCCTCCTCTAGTAGTTCTGTGTGATACCCCATCTAGCTGTTTTCTAGCGACCTCTAGCTCCTGGTGTGCCTGCTCTCCAGCTGCTGGAAACATGTTCCTGCTTGACCAAAGTTCCTGTATCTGAGTGGCATGTTTGTTCTTCCTGTGTGGTGGCTGTCCTGACCTAGCTGAGGGATGCCTGACACCTTCCTTTATCCCCTGTCCTGTTGTGGGTTGCTGGAGTCTGCTCTTTCAGCCTCATGCCCCTCACCCCCCAAAGACTGACCCTTCTCGGAAGCACCACAAGATATTTTTTAAAAAATAAATTATTTTCATGCATTCAGACAAACAGCCTTCCTGCCTGGGTGCTGGGCTACAACAAATGTATCTGAACCCCAGTATTCCTGAGATTGGGGTGGTTCTCTGAAGGAGGGAAGGCTGTATCTAATGGTTTTTAAACTGTACTTTGGGCACTTTGCAGCCCAGAGCTGCGCCCCAGAAGTATCCTGCAGACAAAACATGGCACCTATCTTTAATTGAAGAATGGGCCCTGCCAGACCGGTGCACCCGGGTCTGGAAGAAGTGCCAGTTTTGCAGGTATACTCTGCACCCAGCTCAGGTGAAGCCCCGCCAGGGAGGGCACCCTGACTGTAGGAGCCTTGCAGTTGACCCCGCCTTAAACAACCACTTTCCAGCAGAATCCCTGGGGTTCCATTCCAAGTGCTCTGGAAATTAAAAAAAAAAAAAAAAATCCCTTTTCTTTCCCTTCTGGGCTAGGGAGGAATTTCTTATACACCCAAGTTAAGTGTTTAGTACAAGTAGCAAAGCCTGGCTGAGTTCTGATCTTGCTGGAAACCAATGGAGGTTGGAAGGAAGTCAGAATTTGACTCCACTCTGCGGTGGCTCAGAAGAGGTGGGGGACAACAAGGAGCGGTAGACACAGTGGCCAGCGTGGGACATGCCCCCTCAGACCCAGACCCACTGTCCTTTTCTCTTTGTTTACTCAGTGGTGGCAGCCAGTCTGACCTTGTCTGCGGTCTGCCTGTCCCTGTGTGTAACTTCCAGTACTCTCTGTGATGGCTGGTTCTTGATAGAAAAGGCTTATTATAGTCCTCATGGCTGCCTTGTACAAAATCCGTTAGAAAAGAAAATGTAAAATATCCAATTTCTAACCAGACAAAAACAGCATTATGGAGTTAAAAGATTTTTACAATTGGTCTTGATTTTGATGTGAGCTGTTTTTAACTCTGAAACGTTGTCACTTAAATAAAAACCTTATTTGCCTTTAGGATGTGCTTTGTTTTGGGCTATGTTGAAAAAGCTTTTCTTTATTTTTATTTTATGTGCATTGGTGTTTTGTCATGGGTGTTGGGTCCCCTGGAACTGGAGTTACAGACAGTTGTGAGCTGCCACGTGTGTGCTGGGAATTGAACCCAGGTCCTCTGGAAGAGCAGTCAGTGCTCTTAATCACTGAGCCGTTTTCTTTCACTTTGATTCTCTCCGAGAGAAGAACGGGAGCAGAGGGGATGGGGGACACAAAGCTGAGCTCCAGACCCATGGCTGTGTCACTCAGTGTGGTGTCAGAGTGTGTGTACTTAAAACAAAACAAAACAAAACAAGCCAAGTGTCAAAAGCGAGTTTTTAATTATGAAAAAGCATTGTGATCTAGAAACTGACACACTGGTATCTTTCTAATAAAATGACATAGTAGATTTCCTAAATAATTTACAAAGAGCAGAAACTGGTCTTGAACAGTGTTCCCCTTCCTGCACACCCCAGTTCCCCACACTGAGCTGATAAGTAGGCCCCAAGAGCTCAGGCTTGCAGTCTGCAAATATCTCCTCTCTTCCTATGGGGCCCTGTGGGATTAGGGGTAAAAGTGGTCCCCAAGAATCTCTGCACTGGGAATAAAGGGGGTGATTTCATGGGATGACTCCTGCAGGGTCTTGGTCCTAGTTACAAGGTTCAGAACTGTCTAGCATCTTCAGGTACATTCCTAATATGGATGGGCCTCTGTGAGGCTGGAGAACAGGGTGCTGTATGAGTCCTCCTGGAGAGCATGGGCAGTTCCCATCACCTCTTCAAGGTCTTCCTAAATCACTCGGGCTGTGGCCAGTGGTTACCAATGGGCCCAGATATGGCTAAAATAGAAGGCTTCTGGATCCCCTGTTAGTCAAGTCCTTGTTAGCAGTGGCCTGGGGATGCTGATGAGCCCAGTGCCTCCTCCGGAAGTTCATGGGGTGGGTGGCACGGACATCCTGATGGCTTGGTGGCTGGACAGGGCCTGTTTCCTGTAAAGACAGAACTTCCGCTGTGCTTCTCCCTATTCTCAAGGCAGGGGATGTAGGAAGCTATAGCCCTCCTCTCCAAATCAAAAGGCTGGAAGGTGGCTTTCAGTCCTTTGAAATCACAGGGTTCTGATGTGATCAGTAAGGATAGCAGCTTTGGCTGAGGGAAGTCGAAGACCCAGACACTTCCTACTCTGCTTTTTACCCACCCTGTGGCTTTTCTCGGTCCATTCACTTCTTTAGCACTCCTGCAAGAGTGCCTGCACATTTATATGTAGAGAAGGAGGAGGTGGAAGAGGAGGAGGAGAGACAGAGGGAGGGGCCATTACCTGTAGGATGCCTGCTGTCCTCATTCACGAATAAGGGAGACAGTCATGTCACCACTAGGGATAGAGAAGGGGGAGGGACTGATGACCTGGGATGCTTCATGTTCTGAAGGCATCCCCAGCCCACACTAGACAAGACCAGAACCTGGAGGCATGGTGGGAACATGGCCACAGGGGACATACGGCCTCAGAACACTTTGCAGCCATTCTACAAATGGGAAAACAGTTTCCAAGTCAGGGCAGATCCAGAGCAAAGACTCTGCCTCCAGGTTGGAATCCTGAGCAGATAGACCAGGGACTCCATAGCAACCATGTTGCTTTTGCCAAAGTCCATGGGTATAGAGGAGCCATGAAAGGGACTGGAGGAAGGGAAGGTCTCTCAGGAAGCAGGTACCCAGTCACATGTGAGGTTCAAGGTAATGGGCAAAGGTGAGAGTCCAAGGCCTGGAGGACTCATAGTGCATCCTTCACCATCGACCCAGGCCACTTGAAGCACAGAGGGACAGGGACTTGTCTTGGTCATGTGGCAGATTGGTGCTGGAACCAGCAGCACCCTCTCTAGAAATATAGTATGGCTCAAGGGGACCCATGGCCATTTCCCCTTGACCCCAGGATGCAGCTCACCTCTCTTCGGCCTTGATGGCTTTGTCCAGTTTGTGTGACAGCTTCTGGAGATGCTGGATTCCAGCTCCTACAGGCTCTAGGTCACTGTCAGACTCACTGAACACAAGGAAGCGCCAAAGCAGGGGTTAGCAGAGCCCCGAGCAGAGCCCAGGCGACCCCGAATGACTGGGAAAGCCTCACTGTGGCAGGTGACATGCAAGCCTGTGAGGCTGAGCCATGGGAAATCATTCTGCTGTCAGGTGAGGGCTGCCTTTGGCCTTGCACCTGTCTCTGCCCATTTAGAACGGAGTGGGACTCATCTCCTATCCCCTTTACAGGTAGGGAAACAGGCCTGGAGAGATTTATTTATTTTTTCCCCTTCAGGTCCTCATTAGCTCTGGGGCAGACTTGGGCCAGAACAAGGGTGTCCTGCCCCAGGTAGTACTGAGACTTGTGGGACAGAAAGGAAATTATGGTGGGCTAAGAGAGACTACTTGCCTGGGAGAGCAGAGAGGTTCTGTGGAGGAACAGGGGCTCCGGAGGGCAGCCTCCCTCCTCAGCCGCTGATGTCGATGGGCATGTAGACCCATCTGGCCAGAGAGGCGCGGATGTCCTCCGACTCTGGCATCCCGGTTGGCCCTGTACAGCCGAGT